ATTTAAAACCTATATGAGAAAAAATTTAACACCCCAAAAATACAAAAGCAGACTATTTCTAATTAGGATGGCTTAATATAATAAAGATATAACTAAAATTAGATCTTGATCTCACAAATGCACAAGAATATACTCCAAGTGGATGAGGAATCTTTAAATTTTAAAATGAAACAATACATTTTAAAATAAAGCACTACAAAAATAACAGTGAATGCATCTTTGACCTCAGTATAGAGAAAGGCTTTCTAACTACTAACAAAATTGAAAAGCAATAAGCGAATTTCACTATATATAAAAAAAGGAAGCTTTCTGTATTACAAAGAACTCCATAATCAAAGCCAGAGGCAACTAATAATTGGGATAGAATATAGAATATATAAAGTTAAAAAATGACAGATTCTTAAAATTTGAGAAAAGACCAAAAACCCAATAATAAAATGGAATGAAATAGGCTATTCATAAAAAGATACTCAAACTTCCCCTAAACCCTATGAAAAGATATTCAATCTCACTCATAGCTAGAGAGATGCAAATTAAAATTACTCTAGCATTCCATTTTAAAAAACCTATCAGATGGTAAAGATGCAGAAAGCATGGCAAACACATTGTGCTGGCATGGCTGTGGGAAGAGGCACTCATACACTTCTGGTGGGGAAACAAACTGGTACAGTCTTTCAGGAGAATTTGACAGTATCTAGTAAGAACAGACATGCGCTTATATTTTCACCCAGTGTCCTACTTCTGGGAGTTTGCCTGAAGGAAGATACATCCCAATTAAAAAAAATACACATGTACAGGTTATTCAGCTACAGCACTGCAATGGCAAAACATTGGAAATGATCTAAATGCCCATACAAGTAAGAATAATTGCAAGTAAGATCTCCATGAACTGGCATAGTTTCCAGGATATACTATGGGGGCGGGGGGGCGCAGGGGAGGATAAGAGTAACTATATTACATTTCATGTAAGAAAGAAGGAGCTATAATAAACACCCATCTATTCATTTATTCAAAAGGAAACAAAGGATAAACCAAAAACCAAAGATAGATTACTTATAGGGGATAGGTGCAAACAGGAGAGAAAGGAGGAAGAGAATGAGAAAGAATAGGGAGTGACAATGTTTGTACAGTTTCAACTTTTAGACCTAGGCTAATATTTCAAACAAAACATTAACAAGGAATGGGCAGGAATTCATCATGAAAGACAAATGCATTACAAGTGAGTAACACAACCACCCTAATAAGGCAGAGCGAATAACTAACCTTTGTAAACCAGTATTTTGTTTATGTACTTTCAATACTATAAAGGAACTATATACAAATACTGTACTCTGGTTAGTAGTTGTTCATTGGGAAATTTGTGAATAACTCTGGAACTACCTTGTGTATTCTAGAAATTAAGCAAATAAATGAAAAGATTATAATAGTCAAAGTCAGATTTCTTACTGTTGGACAAGAGTAATAAGAAAGGAGAAAGACTAGAATGAATCTGGTGTTGGTATTGTAATGGAAGTATCTATATGAACTCAAGGAGAAACATAACATCTTATATACATACATATACAGGTACAGTTAACACACACAAATACATAACATACCTAACAGATCTAGAAGTTGATACAGCTGTATATATACATACATAATTTTCTAGTTCTGTTAAGCAGGCTGGAAGAAATGACACTTCAGTACCGAAGTGTATACTTAATGCAGATTTTGGCTTCTAAATAGGTTCTGAAAGGAACCATGGATGCTTAGAGAAATCACTGATTCTAAGGTTAGGGAAGAGAAAATACGAGATGAGTCCAGAACATCTGGTGCCAGAAAATATTAAGAATGGCGACATGTCAAAAAGTCACAAGGGTCAATGTGAAGGGGTTTGCATGGGCAAATAGGGGAGTTTGAATAATAAAATATATGACAGTAATACACTCTAACCTATAGAATAACATAAAAACACATGAGCCCATTATCAACATAATATATGAATAAAGAATGCAGATGGAAATTTCCTAACAGAATTTGAACTACTAAAAGTAGAAGGAAAGATGAAAATAGAGAACTCATCATTTGGCAAATCCTACACTAATAACTGTTTCAATAAAAAGCCTAAGGAAAAAACCCCCAGAAACAAAAAGTATGACTGTCTGCCAATTAGTGGGCAGAAGTATGAGAAATGAGGCAATAATTTTCCTATACTAATTACAAATGGAAAAATTACAAATTTGACATTGGATACATCTGGCAAATACCACCCTAACCAAGTGGTCAAAATTAACATTACTAGTAAGAGGACAGACTGACATCATGTGCTTGCAGATGCACTGAGGATTCATCACGTGTCTTACTTTTGCCAAAAATGCAATAAACAATTTAATCATGAGGAAACATCAGGGAAACCCTAAACTGGGAGATCTTTTACAAATAGGCTTGTACTTTTCAAAAAGTCTAAGGTCATAAAAGACAAACTCTGAGGAGTCCCAGATTAAAGGAGTTTGAGAGAAATGACAACTAAACAGTATGTGATAATGAAGTGAATCTTCAACTAGGGAGACATTAGTGGAGCAAATGGTGAAATGAGTAAGGTCTGTAGAATAATAGTAAAAGATGACAATATTTTAATGTTAATTCCCTGATTTTGACAATCGTCCTGTGGTTATATTTTATCACTAGAAGATCGTGGGAAATACTTCATATATTTTTGCAATGTTGTCTAAGTTTGAAATTTTTTCAAAATGAAGTTGAAAAAAATTAAAATATCTTCATCTCAGCAAGAAAGTAACTTGAACAATCACTCCCCAGTGTATCAAACTAACCTTGATAATTAGTTATAAAAAAACTGAAATTCATAGCCTTCATTTGTAATTAAACTAGAAATGAATCAATTCTAAAATGCAGTTCAATCTTTTCATTTACTAAGATTTGACCTATTGGACAGGAGCATTATAAACATTAAGAAAATATTCATAGATAATCAATGGCAGCCACTAGTAACAGAATACCTTCCAACACTTAGGAATTTTCAAAGATATGCTTTGGCTAGGACTTCCTACAGCACACACTAGATGACATTTCGGCAGTAGAGGGAGGGGAGAATTTGGATTAAGTCTCTTCAAACCCAAGATACCATATAATGCTCTCCAACAATGTGCTCAGTTATGTAGATTCCAAAAAACAATTTTAAATCTCCCATTACTTCAGCCAACAATCTGGGCAACAGTAATGACAACATGTCTCTTTGCTTAAAACAAACAAACCCAGCAACAATTAACTGGAACAGAAAATAAGAACACTAATAGAGTTTGACAAATTTATTGGTATTTTAGTAAAGACATTCATCTTAGTTGTTTCTCTCTCCCATCTTGACCGTAGGTTGATATTTGAGTCAAGAAAATGAAATGTAGGAGAGGGGTGTTACTTCAACATAAACATCAAAATGAACAAAAATGGAAAGTTTGCCTACATTTAAGCAAGTTAAATTCATGTATCTTGATATAATTAAATCATGTAAGTAAGAACTAATAGTTCTATATACATTTCCAATGTTTTACTTGGGGCTTCTAAACTCAAATGCAAGTGAACAAAGTATTAGGAATATATACAGGCTGCTTCTCTGGAGTTATTACTTATTAAAAGAGCTCAGAGCAAGTAGTTACCACCAATCAGTCTGAAGCTGCCTCCAAAATCTAACATTGTAGTTTTCAAGGAAAATCATTATACTGTATGTTTCTTCTATGTGTGTCTATGCTTTAAAAGATGTGTTTAACTGTCACATTAAAAAAGAATTCATATACAATACAAAAATACAAAATAAACACAATCCTACAACACATAGATTAACAAAGTATATGTGGTCGAAGATTCCATAAAATATGTTTAAAGATGCATTTTCTTTCATTTTCAGTATCTAAAATGTGCTTTTGAGAGGCCACTGGTTAGCAAGTATACAGTTAAAGTAAACCATATTTTTGTGCTAAATAAGAATTCCTGTTAATAAGTTCAAATCAAATTGGATTTCACAAGTTAGTAACATAAATGCTTTGATAAAGTTACAGAAAGTGCATCTTTCTTATCTTCCATCTTCATACATTGTTGCTCCCCCCCCTTTTTTTGGTGTTTATACCCTTTAAAAAATAAGAACAGCCAAACATTTAACTATTATGTACATTTAAATTTTTGGTGGTGGTTTGTTATTTTAAAAGAAACAGCTTCCTTATGATTTGCCTCAAGATCTGGTGGAAATGCTTACAGGAACTAGCTAATAACAAAAATGAAGAGAAGCACATTCAAAATATTGATTTACTTTGGTAGCAAATGGTTGTTCTTTGAAGACTAATGAAGGTAGACAAAACCCTTTAAAGTGAAGTGGGCTATTTTAAATACTCAACAGTTTATGTAAAATTTTAAAATGTTCTTTCTAAAGAGCTAAGCATCTGTATCCACTGATAGCAATGCAATAACTAGTTAATGATGATTTGAAACTAAACAAATGCCCATTAGGGAAGAAAAAAAGCTGTATTTTATCTAATTTACTTTCTCAGTCAATAGTCCAGTAACATTTTCCTCCCAATACAATACTCCCTTCTCTATAAGGCTGTTCCTGGGAGCCAGACAAGTTTAGGTTAATAAGGGAGTGAAGTTAGAGAGTAACGGCCTACAGTTTAAATAGACAACTTTTTGCTTCCCTCCTAATGTGCTAATAGTTGTGTCTAAAAAAATATGCAATTCTTAGAAAGGTACCATTTCTGATTTTTTTAGTATCTGTAACCTTTGGAAACTAATCACATGAAACTACAAAATTAGTAAATGTCTTGAAATCTGTATATAAAACATAAATTACTTCTAATTTCAAATTCTCATTTATTAGTGTACCACTCAATATTTAAAAAAAGAAAAAGAAAAAAAAGGTGGCTCCAAAGATAGTCTTATACCATTCCTTAAAAAAGGAAACTGTTCCTTTTAACTTTACACCCACCCCACACCCCAATTTCAAAACACATCATTTAATTGTCTTGGTCATGGACATTTCCAAGATGAGATTTTATATTTCGCTCCCATAGCTTCTGGTTATCAGAAAACCCATGCTTTCCTTTATTGAAGGAATTTGGTCCTGCTGATGTTGGTGTATCCCTGTGTTAAAAAAAAAGAAATTTATTTAAAATGTTATATAATGACTTTTGGGCCATGTTTTTAACTCTTTCAAAATGTCTGTTTAGCACCCATTATAAATGGAAGCCAAACATCAGAAGCTGCTCCAGATCTTTTAAAAAATACCTTTTCCACAGACCCAGTCCTAAAATTTCAGATTCAGTGGGAGGAGGAGTCAGGTAAATTTGTAGGTTGAACAAACATTTAAGGTGATTCTGATAAACAGCTAAAGGTAGCAACCATTATAGTTTTAGTTGCTTGTAACCCACTGTGGTTTAGTCGCTAAGTAGTGTCTGACTCTTGCAGCCCCACCAGGCTTCTCTGTCCATGGGATTCTCCAGGGAAGAACACTGGCGTGGGCTGCCATTTCCTTCTCCATGTAACCTGGTAACAGGGTCATTAAATCAATTCGGTGACTTGTCAACAGTATTTATAAAAGATGAAACAGAAAAAAAAAATGAAGATGTATCACACATAAAATGATTCAGTTGTCATTTTATGAACATGTTTCAATTTTAAATGTTTAGATATATGCAGATATAGATTTGGTTTATATTTTGGTTATAATGTACTTTAGAGTCTTGTATGAAAGGGAGGCCAGCAGATAGCCACTGGGACTGTTCCCATTGGAACCATAGGCAAAGTTTGAAGACTGATGCTGAAAGACTTAGTACTTAGTTCTTTGGGAAAATATATATTTGATAGAAATGGGGACATGGTATAAGCCGTGTTGAAGCCCAGATTTCTTACTAACCTCTAAGTTATCCATTTATGCATACAAAGACAAGAAACTGAATATCATGTTAATATGAAATTAATGTTATTTCCATTATAACAGAGGACAATTTAAAGATGGTTTTTATCTTATTTTGATATTTAGCATCTATATTACCAAGGAAAAAGGAGCACATACAATCAAGATTAAGTGGTGGGAATGATACTGTGAGATGAGTGAAAGCCATTTCTTTATAACCTGAAAAAAATTTTAAATTGGAAACATTTCTGTTTATTTGAAAAAATATAGAGTACATCTATCTGAAAAGAAACAGCATTATATTGTTGCTATTTTTTTCTTAAAATACTAATTTTCTCTTATCAGGAGAGAAATACTGCTGTATTAGAAACAAAACTGTTTTGCCCAAATATGCAAGAAATGCTTGAAAACTAACAGACTATGTGCAATTTATTCTTGCTTTAAATTCACTGTAATTTTCTATGATATTATACAAAAATTATACCTTCCAATATTCTTCATCCTCATCTTTGCTTCTGGAGGCATTTCCTCGGGTTCACTCTGGAAGAAAAAGAGACACACAGAAATGACTGCATACAGATACAGCAGACTCTTGAACAATGCAGGGCGTGGCTGGGGGCACCACCCCTGACCCAAGCCTCCTCAAAGTCAAAAAACCTGTGTATAACTTTACAGTGAGCCCTCCATATCCATGGTTCCACATCCAAGGATTCAATCAACTTGGGATATGGTAGCACTGTAGCACATGTTTACTGAAAAAAAATCTGCGTATAAATAGGCCCATACAGTTCAAACCTGTGTTAGCCGAAGGTCAACTATGTTAAAATCACTTGATACTAATAATGCTAAATTTTATATCCAACTGTAAATTTTGGTTAAAAAAGTAACTTATTTTAACTACATTAAAGAAACCTATGCTTCAAGTGCTGAATCTGCAAAAAGAAAAAATTCTGGTAAAACCTGATATTTTAGAACTGAAACTAGTTGTTTACTAGAATCTTCATGTTGTGTTAAATGCTTTAATATGCACGATCTCTGAAAACTCTAACAATCCTACCAAGTGGGGTGAGTATCATCAATCACATTTTGTAGCTGAAGTACGCATGGTAACATGTCCAAAGTCACAAAACAGCTGGACACCAAAGAAATGCTCTAAACCACTTCACTGTATTGCTCCTTCTCAAAAATGTCTTCTTTACTGTAAAGAAATCTTGAAAGCTCATTCCTTACTGCTTTTCCAGTTACAGCTGGTGAAAAAGAATGTGACAAGTGTCTTTTAGATGTTTTTATATGTAAATGTTACTGCTGAGATAAATATTATTTTTTAATCAGTCATCTCAAGATACACCTTAAAGAGGTTTCTACTGGTCAAATCTGGGACAATTTGAGTATTATAGCCTGTTGAATAGGCTACACTTGTATAAATAAGGAAAAGCTCTTTCTTACAGTGAGATAATTAACAAACACGGACAGGAGGAAAGAATGAAAAAAAAAATTACTACTTGGCAAACATAATAGAACTGATTCTGGTAAGAATCATCAATGTATGTTAACATTCATGAATGAACGCTTAAGTAGTAGGTATTTTCACGTATTCTTAAAACATATCCCCACAAGATAAACTTTAATTAATTCTAAAAGGTAAAACAGTAATTTGACAGTAGAGAGATCTGGCAGACACCACTTAACCTAATGATCAAAGGTAGCATTGCCAGTAACAGGGCATATTGACACATGTGCTCCTGATCTAATATGCCCTGACAACTCGGCATCACTTCTGTAGTACACTTGCCAAGAGGAACGTGAATCTAATAAGGGAACATCAGGCAAATCCAAACTGGGGAACATTCTACAAATTAAAAGAAACTAGAGACTGAACTGAAGAAGTTATTTTTAAATTTCAAAATTAAACAAATGAACATGTTCTCTGTCCACTATATTTCCGACTCAGATATATATCCAAGGCTAACTATGTTCTGCAGAAAAAGGAACAAACAAAGGCTTTATTTCCTTTTTTTTGGCCGCACTGTAAGGCATACAGGATCTTAATTCCCTAACCAGAGATCAAACCCTGCACTTCCCTGCAGTGGAAGTGCGGAGACTTAACCACTGGACTGCCAGGGAAGTCCTCAGATGAAGATTTCAGATGCATGTGTTTTTTTAACTAAAACACAAGTTTATCCTTAACTATCATTACCATCTTATGGCAGAAAGAGTGCTGTCTGAACTTGTCTAAAATTTCTTTAAAAACAGGGAAGAGAGTACAGGATGAGAAACTAGAAAGCCAAGTTCTTGTTCTAAGTTCTAGATGACACTTGTGTGGATCAGCACATACTCGTGCACTCATAACTTAACTTCTCCATTTGGAAAATAAGAATAACCATCTCACACAATTCAAAGGGATATATGGAAGGTAAAATAAAAATATGTGCAAAGACTCAATTTGTTAGATATTCAAAATAAGCCATTATTATGTAGGTGCTTACAATTTTCAGCTTTTCTACTTCTCCAGATGCTATACCCTTCTTCCTATACTGTCCTTCCCTGACATAATCTGTAGAGGTCAAAATGTTACGTAATCTCTTAAGAATTCTGGTTAGACATGAAAGAAAACATTAAATTTAAGTCAATGCTTTTCAAAATTTTTTGGGGGGAGAGGGGGACATAAAAAGTTTTTTCCTCAACAAAATACTACTTGGATTTCCAAATACCAAATAGATAAGAGAGCAGACATAAATGAAATAGCAGCAGGAGACCAGAGTCATGCTTGTTAGCCAGTTCGATTCCCGGGTCGGGAAAATCCCCTGGAGAAGGGGTGGCTACCCACTCCAGTATTCCTGGGCTTCCCTGGTGGCTCAGAGGGTAAAGAATCTGCTGCAGTGTGGGAGACCTAAGTTTGATTCCTGGGTTGGGAAGATCCCCTGGAGGAGGGCATGGCAACCCACTCCAGTGTTCTTGCCTGGAGAATCCCCATGGGCAGAGCAGCCTGAGTGGGCTGCAGTCCATGGGGTTGCAAAGAGTTGGACACGACTGAGTATGCTTCTGAGACATTTCCAAAGAACCCCAGAACTCTAAGAAAACCTGTGTTTAAAACCTGTGACCTAAATTTAGCCTTCACTTTACAAGTTGGAAAACTAAGGCTCCAAAAGGTAAACTGATTTAGTTGCAGGCTCTCTATTGGTTAATAACTGGACAGGACAGGAAAAGAACCAAGGTCTTCCAACCGCCAGCCCAGTGGTCTTTCCGTAACACTGCGTGCCGCTCTTCCTCACCTAAACCTCTTACATCAGTTCACCTCTTCCAGCACTTTGGGTTTTATCTCGGACCATTTTATGTGTAAGGCCCTGCACTGCTAGGCTGAATTCTGAGAGGAACACGTCGGATTTACCTTTGTAATCTCACTGTGCCTAGTGTACAGAAAGCGATCAAATGTGTAGAATGAGTAAATGTCCAAGGGAGAGTACAGTGATAACCACTGATTTTACCTACTGAGTCCCCATCATTCCATATTCATCCTTGCCTAAAACTTCTACTAAACCTCCAGGTGTCAAACACAGCTGCTTAGCTTTACCACTTGTCATCTGAAAGCTGATATCTTAATTCACAAAAGTATTCCTCACAAAACATTCCTGTCTAATGTTTTAGTACCCAACTTATATTTCTTCTCTTAAATATTCTTGCCAATCACTCCAGCCCCATTTTGTGCTCCTCTGAAGGTATACTTCTTATCCATATTGTTCTTGGGCGCTATTACTCAAGTACTCATAGCACATGTATGTTATTACTCATATAAGCATTTGTTGATTTAAGTTCCTTGCCCCCCGAAGTCAGTATTTGAAATAATCCCACAACGAAATTAATAGAAATATCCAGATTGTGCAGATGTCATTAAAAAAAAGAAAAAACACACACAAACCCAAACTGTTGCCAAAAAAAAAAGTTCACTAGTACCATTAATACAACTTGACAATTTGCCACTAACATCCATAAAGAACATGTTAAAGTAAAACAAAGAAAACTAGCTATCAACTTACATCTTCATCTTCATTAAAAGCTGCTGCTACTGAAAGGGTTTTTGGAGCAAGAGTTGGAACCGGTTCTTTAGGCTTCTGAAGAAGAAACATTAAAAAGAGTATCATCACATAATGTTTACACAGGCTTATTTAACAACAGGAATAACATCTTCAAAGATGCAACGTTACGTTTTCACAGAAACATATAGTAAGGAACTAAGAACAAACTTTGGAGAAATCCATTTTCTTTTTTGAAAATGTGGGTTATCAACAGATTTTACTTTATTAATCATATGGCCATTTGTTTTCTTCCATCAAAGATTTTCTAGTTAGGATCTATAATTTAGTATCACTTACATAAAGGAACTTAGTACAGGTTAAGAGAAAATGAATATCAACAACTGCCCACAGTAACATTAAAATGAAGCACAGATTACCCTGAGAAAGACACCAAGATCCATCTTTCTCTACCAGCTGGCTGCCACTGCACAGTGCCGCTTAGAGATCCGAGGGGTACTGAAGTGCTCATGAAGTACCCAAGCCAGAAAACCTCTACCTCAGCTTGAATATTCTATGCGGGGTCCTGTCAACTAGACCTCTATTAAACAGACTTAAATCTCCCCCTGCCTTCTCAGCTTATTGGTTACCACGTTACCAACACCTAAGGCCCCTTAGCATTTCTTGCCTGAACTACTGTTGGACTTACCATCTTCCAGCCTTCCGTGGTTTTTATCCCTCTAATTCTCTGTATTAGTACCAGAGTACTGCTTCTAAATGCAAACCTGTTTATAGGGTCTAGACTACTATAGTTCCATGACTCCTCTAGAACCTAAAGACTAAAACCAAATTTTATGATGGACTACGAGTCCTTTATGATTAGGTCCTATGGTCTTATGTGGGGGGCTTTCTATCCCTCCATCTGACTGCTGAACACTTCCTAACAATGAACAATTTCCTGAGGCACCATGTGGCTTCACATTTAAACTGCCTCTGCATAAGGCACCCTGCGCATTCTGTGGGCTCTTCTGCAAGTAAGGAATCCCAGCCCACAGCAGTGACAGCACCGAGTCTTACTCACTGGACTGCCAGGGAACGCCCTGCATTAAACTCTCTTTTTTATCTGAGTCCTTTTGCCTCTTTCCTGTATTTAAAGTCAGCTCTAGCATCACCTCCCCAATAAAATCATCTCTGAGTTGCTGAAACAAAATTAACCATCCCTCTTATATAACACAAACACCTTTATAAACTCTGTACTTGTGAAGAAATGAAAATGTTCATTTGGAAATTATGCACAGTGACTCTAGAAAACACCCTTTACTCTTAAAACATGCCATGTATTTGATGTTGTACATACAACATAAGGCTCAAGTATTCGCTGGTTGTTTGACTATCTTTTCACATCATATCATCAAAAGCAACAGTTTCAACTATTTTCATATCCTACATCTCACTTCACCAAGATTATGTTTACACTTTGGTTTATGAAAAAAAAGTTTGTTTTCTAAAGGTTAAAGTTTCAGTGAATAGGCCTTTTTAAGCATAACCCTCCTAACTAAAATGATCAGCAATTACTAAATCATTTCAATGACTTAGAGAAAGTAGGGATATGGGTATCTGACTTCTGTGGTATGTTTAACCACAGTAAAATCTATTACCAAGGGGAACACCTATATGAGAAGTGTACATGAGAACCATATCTTTAATGACAATGAAAAAAGTAAATATTTATGCAGGTGGGTATAAGTAATGTTATAAAAAACAGGTTAAACCAAAAAAATCAGCTCAAGTAGGGAGAGGAGTCATGAAATAATGAAGTTATAAGCTGAATGCCTTTTGTTCAGACTAAATTTTTTACAAAAAGGAAGAAAAGGCAAAACAGCATATGGCAGGAGTGGTGGTTCTAAGGAGTAGTAGCTTTATAAAAACTAGACATGTAGCTCAAATGCACGCACTCCAGTAGGAATCTGATCCATTTTTTTTTTCCTGATCCACTTTAAAATCTTTGAACATCTAATGAAGATATCAAGCTGTATGTACCTGGCAACTGAGCATTAATTTTCACAGGAAATGAATAAACCAAAGCAATTTTAGGATTATACCCCTTACACAAGAATGTATAACCATTTTCTAAAGCCAACAGCAATATGCTATTAAAGTAAGTTCCTTTTTCTTAAAGAGGAGACCCATTTAGTTGAATCACAGGAAATTATCACTTCTGTAGATCAGAAATAGTCAAGTGTCTAAGGCTTCAATCTAATATTTCAGTTATTTTCCAGACACTCAACAGTTAATAAGTACTAATTCAAGGTTTATATCTAAAAAAACAAGAAATCAAAAGTTGATCTACAAAGGACTACTATCATAGGTTTTAATACTCAACATCCATTTGCAGCTCCAAAGTAAGTTTATCAGGAAGCTCTTATTAAGCAGTACCTTACTAACATTAATCTTTTATGACACAAATGATTTCTAGAGCTAATATTTTTTAACATCACTGGAATTAAAAGATAAACTGAAACTCTAAAAGTATTTTTCAGAGGTTTTGCACAAGTTAGGAAACTGTAAGCTATTACTTTATAAGTCATATATTCCCTACAGTATTTGTTCCTTCTCATATTCGAAACCTTTTTAAAAACAGCTTGATTTATAATTCATCCGGACTTTCCTTGAATATACTAATAATTTTCTTAGATACTTACATGTTATAAGTTCATGCACCAATGTATCATTTTATACTTAATTTATCATAATCCAATAAAAGGTTTCCAAAACAAATCCTTAAGACCCATTACAAATATAACATATAAAATAACTCACACTTGAGCCAAGTTTGATGGATATGGCTGAGGCTTTCTTTGTCGTCTGACTACCTATGGCAAATCCAAACTTGGAGATCTTTGTAGGCTTTGTTGGGAGGTCTGCAGTTTCATCTTCAGCTGATCGCTTTTCAGCGCTGCGACTGGAATTTTCCCCTCCATTACTGGAAGAAACAGTCTTAGTTTTCACAGGTTTTTCTGCTTCTTCTTCAGGTCCTGGTGAAGTCGAAACAACTTACCAAGATGAGCTATTTTTACTGAGCAGATTGATGGGAGCAGCAACCTCAAAAAGCATCGTTATAAGGAAGATACCTCTGCAGTTGTCACCTACTGACCCAACAGTCTCTTCCACTGTTTGTTAGAGTATACAGCAGGAACTGAGATTGTGTGGCAGTAGAAGAGGCTCCCATGAATTAACTAGCATAAAATACAGAGCAATTTAAAATTATAAAAATAGAGTTCACAAAAAGACCCTTCAACTAAACACTCTAAGTTGCATAATAATCTAATTACCCGTGGAATTTTGCTTTTCATAAATTAAGAACTATAAACTCTTCTACATGAAATGGCTGTTGGCAATTAGTCACATCATAGAATAATACATTTGACTAATAAAACATCTAGTATTCTTCAATAGTATACTACTAGTTATACAAAGTAACTTTTTATGACCAGCCCATCATGTCCCAAACTACACAGTACAGCCCGCAGTAACTTTCTTGAGTGATGTGTTCTTCTGAACATTTCACACAATCTTTAGAAAGGAATTTCAAGGAAGACATCAAGGTCATCCCCTCTTTAGTAACTTAATTCTACTCTCAAAGCTTGATTACCATCTGTTTAGCCTATTCTTAAAGAGTGATCAACAATTATATTTAGGTTCACACATTATTTGTTCATCATAAAAAAAGATGAGCTAAAAATGATAATTTCTAACAGAAGGCACACACATGTAGACATGGAATGCAAGATGTCTTTCAGTAATTTTGCTTGTTTATATTAACAAATGAAATGAGTTAACATCTTGAACGTTACACATGAAGGCTATTTAAGAACATACTGGGAAGCAAGACAGAAGAAAACTGGCTGATTATTAAATATTTTCTTTCCCAAGTTTATCAGTTTACTCTGTACAATGTATTCTGCTGCACCAGATAAATATTTATGGAGAAAGAGAAGATTCTCTAAGGAATGACCCTGACAACAGTTTGGAAAACATGACAAAAAGCAAGAATGGGTGGAAAAGGGGAAATCAAACAGACTGACGAGTAATAAAGGACAAGAGATTACAGATCCCAATTTATATAATTTTGGAAAGATGGGGTAGCTAAATTAATAAGCACTTTGAACAGAACATTTGATTTTGTTTACAGGAAAATAAAAGAAACTCTTTATTACCTTTAGACAAGGGGTGAAAGTTGTAATAACAATGTAGGGGAGAAATTAAGCAGTATTAGGTTTTGGGACTTCCTTAGGAAGGAAAGAGCATTGCAATAGCTGTCTGAATTCACTTATTTAGATATAAAATTACAAAAGCACCTGAAGAATGTAAGATTGCTACTCAATATCTGAAATGTAGAATTCAATTTAGAATTTCTTAAAAAGACAGTATTATGCAAACATTTTTTTTCATTCTATCGCTAAAATCATTTATGCCAAATTTTATTCTGTATCCTTATAGTTTTAATCAAGTATGAACTTTACAGTAAAACCCAGTGATAACTACTACTTCTCTGTGACTGGCACAGCTAAAACTGAAAACTTACTGGCTCTATGTATTGAAACACATTAAAAAAAAAAACACTGAATTTACATATAGAAGCAATCTATACACCACTAAAGGCACAAGTTTGTGCAAACACAAACTGAAAAACATCAAAACAAATAGCACAAAGAACATTTAGCTTTGATTCTAGTGTAACTCTGCTCTTTGAACTGTGACTCAAGGGCTATCATCAGGCACAATTTCTGGTTCTTTTAAAACCTATCTATTCTGAAATCTAGGAATCCTTTTACCCAAAAAATAGTTCAGGAACAAAGAATCTAGAAAAAGCAAAGCATAAATATGAGGAAAAGTGAAAAGCATAGTTATTACTATAATATTAAGAACATTAAGTGTGACAACTAACTGAACTAGTATGTGCTAATACATGGAACATAATACTATCTGTCCACTCCTATGATGCCTGGGGAAGATTTCTATAATTACTGCTCTAGAAAATCATGAACTGCTGTTTCCAATTCATTTAATGAGATGTTTTCTATTCTGACACTGTCAAAATCAAAATTTTGAATGGCCACAGATTAGTAATGTGAAAAATCGTAGCAATGTGACTTACATTTTAAAGAGTGAAAAAATATGCAGTTTTAAAAAAATAAATCACTTTATAACAAACATGGACAGTTATTATTAGATTCTTTATCAAGGAGTATCTAAATAAGAGATTTTATCTTGTTTGTATTCTGAGCAAATAAAATGTGTAGATTAGTTAATGTGAAATCAAAATACAGTACTAGCATTTTTTTTTCTCGTCCTTCACTGAACAGTTGAGGAGGAGAGGTGGGCCTTGGGAGTCCAAAAGGTACCTTACTTTGAAAAAATTACCTAGTAAGTTTTAAGTCCATAAGGATACCTTTCATGACCCATTTGCATTCTGGTAGCTTCTTAGTCTGAAAAAGAGTATACATCTACATCTCTAATAGGACTGGTGTGCAGTTTAAATGAGAATATATTCAAGACCCTCTTGACAGAAGAAATGTCAATTTCATTAATGTAGTTATTAGAAACATAAAATAGCTTGAGGTGAATATGATTACAACATGAATAGCTCTAAAATTTCTACTTATTTCAAGGAGCTACAACAATTTGGCCAAAGGGAAGAAAAAAGAGAAAAGCTACCCAAAGCCTAACCCTTAACATTATCCCTCCCCTTAAAGGTGAGAGCAGGAAGTTCAAGTAAGTAGCTTCTCTTATTAATATAAACCTATGTTAACTTCTTAAAAAAATACTTATATTTCCAATTTAATGGATTGTTCAGTAGGAGTTAAAAATCAGAAAAATCCCTAGGTAAGCCCCCCGCAATACAAACTGGCCAAGTGTTAAATAGTTCCTACTTGCCATAAAATTTTATCAATTTAGCAATATCCATGGATGGCATAAATGTTTTAACTATGATTTTTTTGTACAACTTCATTAAAAACATGTCATGCAAAAATGGTTAACATGTAACTGCTATTTCTTAAAAAGGAAGGCACACTCAAGGCAATTATGTATTAAAGAATATCAGCCTAAGTCACTAACAAGGATACAACTTTTGATAGCAATTAGTAAAAAAGGTAATTTTGTATCATTCTTGTCAAAAAAATATGCTAACACAGAAACACCAATATTCATACTACAGAATAAATTATCCCTAACGAAAGGGTGGTGGATAAATTACACAGTGGAATTATGCTGACACTTATGGTACATTTTTCTGTTTTGTTTTGGCTACTTCAGCCAGGTGTGGTGTGAAATCTCAGTTCCCTGGGGCAGAGACTGAACCCAGGCCAGGCAGTGAAACCCTGGGAATGCTAACCGCTAAGCCCCCAGGGAATTCCCTCAAGCTATGTTTCGGCTCACATTAAACACAGATACTCATCTAAGACAAAAAAACCATTCTTAAACGGTAGTCTCTAAGTCAGATAAGGCCTTTTGGGCTACAGATCTTTGTTTTTCCTCAGACTAATTTTTAAGTGTAATTTTACTTGGTAATTTCCAATTTTGGCCACAAAAAGCCGCTAAAGAGGTAGTACTAAACGGTTTAAACTGTTGTTTCATAAGCTGTTTTACTAGTAAAAAAACAAAAAAGAAGGGAGGGGAGTGGAAAGGGTGAAAGGAGTTTGTGCTCAACTAACAGCACCTTATGTATTTTTTAAAAAGGAAATTCTGGGTCCAAAGTAACCGAATATTACACTTTTCTCAATTTCGTTCCCAAGTTAATTCACATCAAACTTGTTAGGAGGTCCTAACAGTTACCTTCATATACTACTAATTTTCTTTATTTTCTCATATTAAATACTTTCAGGGATAAGACTCGGAGAAGTAGGACAGTGTGGTACTTAAAACGTTCTAAAGACATTATCAGCTCGCACGTGTTAAACTAGCCTTGTTAGGACAAAGGGACGGGGAAGCTAGAGAGATTACATGGTGTTTCTTTTCCTTAATGCACAAGACCCAAATTTAGAGGATTGGAGGTGACAGAATAAAGATAGCTGCAACCTAAATTGACATCGTAACAAATAAGGAAGAGTCACACTAGCCTGTTTAGCCACCTAAAGATCTGGCAGGCAGTTGGCTGGCAACAGCCTAGCACATAAAAGGCAGACAGTTCAAAGAAGGGCAATCAAACCCTAATCCTAGACCCAAACGATTAAACCAGGAGACAGGCAAAGGTATTATTCCTCTTTCCCTCCATCGCCTCAACCCAGCCCTTACAGGATCAGTATTAGGCTTAAAAATGAAGGAATGAAAAAGGCAAGGACAGTCCACTTCCTCAATGAGAAGGGAGCAGCAAACTAACTCCTAGGTGTAACTGAGAGGCCGGCACCATCGGAAACTCGGCCTGCGGCCAGTTCCTGCGGTCACTGCTCGGTGACTCGGGCTGAGTGAGCGCGCGTGTGCGTTTTGTGTGATGTGCGTCTCCGGTGTGGCGGTAGCGGCTCGGGCACCGCCACTGCGAGTCCCACCCCGAGTTCGGTCCCCCTTTCTGGTGCCCATCTCCCTTCTCTTCGGAAGCAGGGTCTCTGCTGGGGCCAGGAGGTGACGAACAGTGACCGGCTCTTCCCCGGTAAGGAGGCGATGTGGGCCGGGATCCCAGTGGGCCGCACCGGGCGTGCCCGGGGCTCGTCAGGGCCCAGCACCTGGCCGGGTGAGAGCCAGATCCGCCCACTCTCGCCCCAGTCTACTCCCCCCACCCCGGGAAGCTCAAAGAAAGGCTCAGAGCATCCCACATAGCCCGCGACGCTGGGGTTGTGTTCACCTCCGGCGGCTCCAGCTCGCTGCGGCTTCTCAGGCTTCTCCTCTCCCGCCTTCCCGTCCGCCATTTTCCCCGCCGCGGCCTCCCCTGCAGCCACGCCAAGGACGTCACAGCCCCGCCCAGCAACCATTGAGCTTCAGAGCCAGCCTTGGAAGCGTCAGCCTAGAGCGACCGTAGAGAATGAAGAGAGGCCCTTTCAGAAACGGAAGTGGATTTGATATCATCGGCGAGCCGCCTATGAGGCGAGGGCGGGGTAGGATGGGTGGTCCTGTACAGAGCTCGTGGGGGTTTTGCTAGCGGTCGGTTAGATTTTTTTGGTCCAGTGGCGGATTCAAATAAGTGAGACGTGAGAGCGTAGCCCTGGAAACGGTGAGCCTATGTGAGGTTTTTGCCAACTGAGGTGTGGCTGACGCTGAAGCTAGCAGGATATCTCATTCTGGCTTTGCTGGATCATGTGTACCTATTAAAAAAAAAAGAAAAGAAAACCGAATTCTTTTTCCTACTTAAAAGGGAAATCCACGTTTATCGAGCGCCCCCTTGTGTCATACTCTATAGCGTTTAATCACCACTACTGTTTAATAATCCAATGCGAAATTGTTCTCTTAATTAATCTTAATGTGGTAAAGAGTCCGCCTTCAACGCAGGAGATGCGTGTTCGATCCCTGGCTTGGGAAGATCCCCTAAAGTAGTAAGCAGCCCAGTTCAGTGTTTTCGCCTGGAAAAGCCCATGGACAGAGGAGCTTGAGGGCCTACAGTCCATGGGGTCGCAAAGAGATGGACACAAGTGAGCAACTGAGCACACACACAGTCAACAGTTAGCTGTGAGAGTTGAAGCCAAAGAAAAATTTGTCTAAGGTTATGGAGGTAACTGGTAAAACTGATTTTTTTCTGCAAGGGATTTTTTTTGTCAAGAAACTTTATTACCTAAAATCACAGTAGTTTCTGCTTTTCTTAGAAACCTTTAGTTGATTCTCCGGGTTTGCAGAATGAAGTCCAAGCATCACATTGGGTCCCATCCTAACTTTTCAGCTTCATCTTTCCTTTCTGTCTATATTTATACTGCCCTCTTGCTATTCCTTGCCTATGGAACTGTAGTTACTGGGTTTGCTGTCAGTGTTACAGAAATTGGTCTTAAGGAGTCAGAACTTGGGTTTGAATCCCTTTACTGACTGAGTAAACCTTGAGCATTTCTTACTGTCTACAGACCTGTGTTTCCTTTTGTATGAAACAGAGATAATAATTTGTACATCCTCAGAGGGTAGTCTTGGGGATCACGTGTTATAATACAATCAATATACCTTGCTTTGGTCATTTTGTACTTCCCTCTCTCTCTCTCATATATAAATATTTTTAAAGGTCTTTCTAGCTCAAAATTTCTTTGCCCACAGAGACCATTTAAATAATTTATTTTCTTTACAGCACTTTATACTGCTCATTTCATACGTGAAATGTGCTCTGTATTTGTGAGTGGATGACTTGTCAGGGTCCAAGTCTAGGAAAAACAGAAAGAATGAAAGTGTGTTCTGTCACCATGACAGAAACAGGGTGGTTTGCAGATGTGGTGATTTGAAGTCTCTGGTTCACTGTCTATGACAGAATATGTAAAAGTGCCCAGCAAAATATTTTACATAGTGTGCTATGTTGCTTCAGTTGTGTCTGACTGTGCGACCCTGTGGATCATAGCCTACCAGTCTCCTCTGTCCATGGGATTCTCCGCTCAAGAATACTGGAGTATTTGCCATGACCTTCTCCAGAGGATCTTCCCCACCCAGGGATCTAGCCTGCGTTTCTTACATCTCCTGCGTTGAGGCAGATTCCTTACCGCTGAGCTACCAGGGAACATGTAATTAATTCGTGTTTGTTTCATTTTTCCTAGATGAGCTCTTCAAAAGTTACATAATGGATGATACTCTCTTGTTTCGTTTTTGGGCCACACCAAGTGGCCTTTGGGACCTTACCCAACCAGGGATTGAACCCAGGGCCCTCAGCACTGAAAGCATGGCGTCCTAACCACTGGATGGCCGAGGAATTTCTGAGACACTCACTTTAATCATTTTTAAATGGAGACATAAACATGAGATATTCATTTATAGTTACAAATGTATTTACTCATAGATGCTTCTGTCTTTAAATGACAAAAATGAATTTTAGAGGGGTCACATAAAGCTATCCAGTTCCATGTACCACATTGTAGAAGTTAAAGATGGAAGCTACTAACCCATTCGCCTGTCAATTCCTTGAGGTCATATTGTACATACCTTGCTCACCATTGTTTCCCTCGGACCTAGATTACACCAGTATTCAATAAATACCCACTGAAGAAGTGAATGCCAACTTGCAGGAATCACCCCAATAAATGGATTAAAGGGTTGAAAAGGCAGTTGAGCGCAGGGCAAAGAGCAGCATTGATAGCATCACACAAAACTTAATTTAGATGATAACCCTGCTATTTGCTACTTCTGTGAGTTTGAATTGATAAGGTAATCCTAATACATTTTAACTATAAAAATGTACCAATACTTATAGGTTTACTGAGAGGAGTAAGTGTGATAATACAGGTAAAGTTTGAAACACATTGCCTGGTTCATGGTGGGTACTTGCTTAATAGTAGATAATTTTTTGCAGTCTCTAAAAGCTATCCAAATAATGATTTAATAAGCTGAAAATGAAGATTAATATAGACAACAATTACTATAATTTAAATGTGTAATATGTGAGGTGATAGCTATACTATGCAGTATACATTCATGCTTCCTCTATGCCAAGCACAATCTGCAATTTTTTAACATGAAATCAAGTGCATTAAATCATCACCATATGAATTGTTAAAGTTACTCTTGCTTTTATGGAAGAGGAAACAGGGACACTGAAAAGTAAGAGATGGAGGTGAACCTGGAATTCAGGCAGAGAAATACAAAATATCAGAGAGGAAACATGGCTAATCTTGGTTTCACTAACCTTGAGTGTGTACATGCTATGTCACTTCACTAGTGTCTGACTCCATATGACCCTGTGGACTGCAGCTTGCCAGGCTCCTCTGTCCATGGGATTCTCCAGGCAAGAATACTGGAGTGGGTTGCCTTGCCTTCTTCCAGGGGATCTTCCTGACCCAGGGATTGAACCTGTTTCTAACCTGCATTGGCAGGAGGGGTCTTTCACCACTAGTAGGTTCTTAATCAGGGCTATAGTCCCATATATTTCCCTATACCATTGTCAAGTTCTTATACACTAGATCATCTGAAAGACTTCTTAAAACAGTTACAACTCTAATACCACTGAATTTTTGATTCAGTAGATTCAGTGGATGGGCCCCCCAAACACACATTTCTAACTAGTTCCCAAATGGTGAGGCTGCTAGTTTGGAGACCACTCATTGAGAACCCTGGCCCTAACTCAATCACTTGTTTAGACTATTTCACAGTTTCTCTCATCTCCTCAACTGATGAATTTGATTCTTATTTTCAGTAACAAAATAATAGAAATCAAAATAGAACTTCTGTATGTTCTCATTATATCTGTGATATGGTATCTAAATTTGTACTTTTATTTTCTGTCTTCTTTTCTGTTACTAGTGCAATAAATCCCATCCTTCTTGCTTATAAAAGGATCCCTCTAATATCTCCCATATCTACAAAATAACCATAACAAAACAAAAAACTTTTGGGATCTCATAACTCGCTCTACCTCCTCATTACTATTCCTCTTCATATAGAAACTCTTTGAAAGGATTGTTTATACTCGTTGTCTCCAACATCTCTTTGGTATTTGCTGAGAAAGTGCTGCACTCAATATGTCAGCAAATTTGGAAAACTCAGCAGTGGCCACAGGACTGGAAAAGGTCAGTTTTCATTCCAATCCCAAAGAAAAGCAATGCCAAAGAATGTTCAGACTACTGCACAATTGCACTCATCTCACACGCTAGCAAAGTAATGCTCAAAATTCTCCAAGCCAGGCTTCAACAGTACGTGAACTGTGAACTTCCAGATGTTCAAGCTGGTTTTAGAAAAGGCAGAGGAACCAGAGATCAAATTGGCAACACCCATTGGATCATCAAAAAAGCAAGAGAGTTCCAGAAAAACATCTATTTCTGCTTTATTGACTACACCAAAACCTTTGTGTGGATCACAGCAAACTGTGGAAAATTCTTCAAGAGATGGGAATACCAGATGACCTGACCTGCTTCCTGAGAAATCCGTATGCAGGTCAAGAAGCAACAGTTAGAACTGGACATGGAACAATAGATTGGTTCCAAACTGGGAAAGGAGGACATCAAGGCTGTATATTGTCACCTGCTTATTCAACTTATTGCAGAGTAAATCATGCAAAATGCTGGGCTGGATGAAGCACAAGCTGGAATCAAGATTGCCGGAAATATTAATAACCTCAGATACACAGATGATGCCACCTTTATGGCAGAAAGCAAAGAAGAATGAAAGAGCCTCTCGATGAAAGTGAAAGAGGAGAATGAAAAAGTTGGCTTAAAACTCAACATTCAGAAAACGAAGATCATGACATCCAGTCCCATCACTTCATGGCAAATAGATGGGGAAACAATGGAAACAGTGACAGAATTTATTTTCTTGGACTCCAAAATTACTGCAGATGCTAACTGCAGCCATGAAATTAAAAGACACTTGCTCCTTGGAAGAAAAGCTATGACCAATCTAGACAGCATATTAAAAAACAGAGACATTACTTTGCCAACAAAGGTCCATCTAGTCAAAGCTATGGTTTTTCTAGAAGTCATGTATGGATGTGAGAGCTGGACTATAAAGAAAGCTGAGCACCGAAGAATTGATGCTTTTCAACTGTGCTGTTGGAGAAGACTCTTGAGAGTCCCTTGAACTGCAAGGAGATCCAGCCAGTCCATTCTAAAGGAAATCAGTCCTGAATATTCATTGGAAGAAGATGCTGAAGCTGAAACTCCAATACTTTGTCCACCTGATGCGAAGACATCAATTTTTGGAAAAGACCCTGATGCTGGGAAAGATTGAAGGCAGGAGGAGAAGGGGACGACAGAGGATGAGATGGTTGGATGGCGTCACCGATGTGATGGATATGAGTTTAAGTAAGCTCTAGGAGTTGGTGATGGACAGAGAAGTCTTGTGCGCTGCAGTCCATGGGTCGCAAAGAGTTGGATACAACTGAGCGACTGAACCGACTCTTACCACCCTGATCCAACTCACTGTTATCTTTTGCTTTTGTTTCTGCAATAGTCTCCTAACTGGTCCCTCTCATCTAATCTGGTGTCAATAGAGCATCTAAAGTGATCCTTTTTAAATGAATCGGATTGATTCATTCAACCTGTATCAAGCTGCATCTTCCCTGGGGGCTCAGTCAGTGAAGAGTCTACCTGCAATGTGGGAGACTTGGGTTCAATCCCTGGCTCAGGAAGATCCCCTGGAAAAGGAAATGACAACCCACTCCAGTATTCTTGTCTGGAGAATTCCATGGACAGAGGAGCCCAGTGGGCTACAGTCCATGGGGTCACAAAGAGTCAGACACAACTGAGTGACTAACACTTTATTTTTTCACTTTATGTGCCAGGCACTGTACCAGGTCCTGGGGATACAGCAGAAAATAAGACAGAAAAGCGAGTTCCCTGCTAGCCTAGTGGTTAGGATTCCAGGCTTTCACCTGCATGACCTGGGTTCAATCCCTGGTCAGCAAAATGAGATCTTTCCAAAAAAAAAAAAGAAAAATATAACATTGTAAATCAACTATACTTCAATTGTGTACTCAGTCACTCAGTTGTATTGGACTCTTTGTGACTCTATTTGTGTGCTTGTGTGTGTGTGTTTGTGTGAAGTCAATTGAATCATGTCCAACTTGGCAACTCTGTGGACCATAGCCTGCCAGGCTCCTAAAGTGCTTCTGGGCACATAGTAGGTACTCAGTAAATACTTGCTAAATGAATGAATGAGGCAGATAAGCTGCTAGACTGGGACAAGGAAGACCACTGCAGTGATATAGAAACAAGGAGGAGGTATTTCAAAGAGGGAAGAGTTCAGTGAGATCTTCATGGTCCATTAATTAGTAAGAGGTGGCTACTTGAACCTGTCTGGAAACAATGGAACTGATGTAAGCACAGAACAGATCACAGGTTTATCGAGGTTTATCAAGCTGCACTGTTCAATTTGGCAGCCTCTAAGCACTTAAAGCGTGGTTTGTGCAACTGAAGAATTGAACTCATTTAAGTTAAAAAACTGAAGCAGTTAGCTTTTATTAAACACGACTATTGTTTTCGTAGGACTGCATTTTACTTTTACAATTGAAAATTTAGTATTCATATATTTATTTCTTAAAGTGAAAAGCAGGTTTAATTAGAGAGAGACACATCCCATAGAAAGAATGTGAGCTATCTCAAAAGGCCAGAGGTGGCCCCAGGGGGTAGGGTCACCTAGGAAAGTGAGAGTTGTGGTGGGAGAAACTCACTCCAGAGTATGGGCCATTTCAGAAGGTGAGAGCAGCATGGTATTCATATTAAGATGTTCTGTAACCATTAAACTACATACCAGATTTTGAATGTTTAGTTTGAAAAACAATATGAATGTAAAATCACATTAGTTTTCTTTTTCTTTTTTTTTACAGAGTTTTCCATTTTTAATATTTGGTTAAACAAAATACATCTTTTGTAAACAAACCCAGCACAAGGCCAACAAAAAGGAAAAGCAAGAGAAAAACAAAAAGCCTAGGGTTGCCCCTGACTGGGTGTCAGGGTCAGGCCTGCCCACTTCCTTAGGAAGTGGGGCTTTCTGCCCTCGGGCATCAGCATAGGTCCCTGTTCCTAAGCACCAGAATTGGATGTGAACAGAGGAACCAGCCCTGAAATGGTTAAGCGTCTTTGCACATCCCATTGGCTTACGGACTCCAAGTGCGTGAGGACTCCTTTGAAGTGCCGTCTGCACAGGCCCAAGCAGACTGGTGGCGAGGAGTTTTCTCCTCCTCCCAGGAAATGGCTTACATCACTGACAGTGCCAATGGACCCAAGGTCCTGCTTGTGACAGTCAGCAAGATTGGCTGTAACTTCTGGCTGGTGGTGGTTGGAATGTCATTGTGCAGGGGTGACGAGCTCCCTGTGGTGCCAAGCAGGTCTGGTATAGAAAATGGTGCAGAAGAGACTGTGGCCACTTGCTAAGAGGGTGAAACACAGTAGCTGCTTGGTGGCCTCTGTTACTCAGCGTTAAAAAAATGGCCTTGTGGGATTGAAGATACATGTGCAGAAAAAGTGCTGGTGTAAACATGCACTCCAGTCACAGTGGGGAGAAAGCCTCAGCTTCATCCCGTTAAGCTTGCTCAGGCTGGACATGCAAGCCCCAGGCTGGCTCTGTGTTGGAGAGGAGCCTGGCCAGTGGGGCAGCTCTCAGACCTGCCAAGACCATTGATCTGTGAAGGGCTGGACAGGCCACCCCTGCCTGCCCCCCTGCCTTGAGACAACCATGGCCCCTTTGGTGACAGGCGGTGTAGTCTAACACTTATTTCTCCTCCTCTTGTCTTCCAAAGTTACCAGGAGAAAAGTGGCCTACAGCTATTTAAAGAGGTAGGGGTGGGTCAGTTCTCAGTTATCGGTAAAAGAAACTCCAGAGATGACAAACCCAGGTCCTAAGCAGGATGCACGTTATCTACCCAACGTGAGGGCTCTGCTTCTGGTCACCAGAGTGACTCCAAGCCTAGGGCTTCTAATTCGAGCTGCTCCAAATCTCTGAGGGCTTAGCTTCACAATACTTCCCTTGCCCAACGCTGTCTCAAACTAGTAGAATTTGATGGTGAAGGCAGTCTTATTTTTTTCTGATTTTACCGGGGTGGGTCAGCTGGGAAAACTGCCCTTTGGCCTGTCTTGTGTCCCCAAACCTCCTAAACCAGTGCAGTGAAGTGGCAGGGACAATGCTGGAGTGAGGCAGACAGGCTGTCCGTGCCTGTCCCTAGCCTGGGTTTGGCCACATCCTCAAGTATCTAGCTCACCCTGTCATGTTAGAATACTGCAGGATTCAACCACCCGGCATGGAATATTAGAGAACTTTTCATTATAAAACTTCAAGGATGGCCATAAACCACTCTTAAAAATGGCGTCAGGGTGGCATAGAGGGCTGGAGACAGCACGTTGTGCCGCTGCTGCAGTTCTGGAGATGGTTTCCTGAGAGGCCTTTCTGCTCTGAGGCCTCCCAACCAGTCCCATGGGCTTTGGACTGCGTGTTCACACTGGTTGCCAGGAAAGGGGAAGGGGAGGCAGCATCTCCAGGTGAGTCAGTCAGAGCAGCAGTGAACTCCAGCATAGCCTCTGTCAAGTCCTCATAGAAATGGGGAAAGGAAGCTAAGACCCACCTTTCTTTCTCTTTTACATAAAACCAAGGTCTCCACAGCTCGCCCTAAGTACACAGAGCTCCTACTTTGCTTTTCCAGGAGCGAGTAACGCTGGTTGGTTCATGCAACAGTCCACATGTCTGTCCTATAGGACTGTCAAAGTGGAGGGGAGAAAAGGCCCGATGAGATGTTTGGGGAAGTGGCAAGGGCAGACCCATGGTAGAGGCCACAGCACATCACGGAGGATTTCAGGGGGCTGAGGTGAGGGGAGGCTGGGCGGGACTCATCACACATCAGCCCTCCAACTCTGGTGGGCCTCCACCTCTTCTGGTACCACCGGCAGGAGTTCACAGTTCTTTCCTCGCAAATGATGTTTTAGAAATTTCCTGAGCTCGCTCTCGCCTCCAATCCATTCGGGCATCTTCAGTTTGGAGTCGCGGTTGTAGTAGGCACCTCCCACCTCTCGAACACAGATCCAGTGCTGCCTTTTGAGCGGCAGCTTCAGGGGACCCCAGCACAGGCTGGAGGGCAGGTTCATGATGAAGCCCATAACGTTTGTGAGAGCAACGGCGCCCACATCCCTGCGCTTGTCCCACCAAACAGCTTCATAGCCTTTGGTCTGAAGTGCTGCCATAATGACGTTCACATCGTAGTTCCCATTTCCCAGCATGCTCTTCTTGTGGGGGGTCACCATGGTGTTTGGAGATAATCTCTGGAAAATCTCTTGCAGCGTTTCCCGGGTGAAGGCATTGCTGTCCTGGAAGACGTTATTGAGGGCGTGCAGAGCAGAGCTCCCTGCGCTGTTTCTCATGGTAGATTTGCGGGGGTGCTGCCTGGGGCATCTCCAATGATTCAGATTTGACCTTGTCTCCTTTCCATGGCACGCAACTCATGTTTTTCCTTTTAGGTTCCAGGGAGGGCTAAAAACACCCCACCCTTCCCTCCTGAGGAGGAATGTAAGCTTCTCAGCCTTTTGAGAATTCCTGCGGTCCACCTTACTTTCTGGTGTCCATGATTTATGCTTTGTCACGGGAAGAAGAAAAGGTTGGACTCAAAAGGAAAAATAATCGCCCTCTTCTCAACAGAAAGATAACTTTTGGATTAGTGTATTTCGCCGCCACTGTCAAAGTGCAGAAGTTTTAAAAAACCATGTAAAATCAAAGACCTTGTTTTCCTTCTTCCACCCCCTCCAAGAAAACCCAACGATTTTCTTGCTGTATTTTCTCTCTGCAAATGCCAACCAGGCCTCAAGGCAAGAGGACGGAATGGAATCGGTCACATCGCTCCTTTTCTTCCATTTCTTTGGAACCACGAAGCCACTGGCTCGGGAGACAAGGCCTAAGCGGCGGATAAAACACAAATTTCGAGCAGCTAATGAGGGCCGACCGGCGTGGGTTCGTGGGCCCTGCTGCGGCCTCGGGGGAGGCTCTCCATCCTCTCGGGTGCGGCGGGACCTTGAGGGGCCGAGGCGGACGCAGCTCCTTCGGAAAGCGCGAACTCTCACCCTCTCGACGCAGCCCTGAGCCCGACGTCAGCCACATTAGTTTTCAATAACGAATACAGATTGAAGTAATAATGTAGGCATATGGGTTAAATATATTTAATTTCAGTTTTTATCTTTAACATGGCTACTGGGTCATGTACATATTTGGATTGTATTGTACCTCTATTGAACAGCAATAGTGTAAAGCAAATGGAAACTGTGTTTTGAATACTGACTTGAAGGATCTGGCTTAGAAATTAAATTGTAATATACTAGGGGTAATAGTAGCAAATAAAGACTTCTTTCTTAATTGTGTAATTATTAAAAGCTGGGAATTTGGTAGCATGTTTGAAGAGCAGGTGGGAACTAGAAACCAGAAATGTCATTACATGAAAACATGTCACTAATTGGTAATAAAGGGAAGACCTTAGGAAACAAGTTACCTTCAAAGAGAAAGAATATTATAGAATAAATTATTGGGTGTTTGAGATAAAGGGAAAAGCTGTTCCTTCCTACTTCACGCCCAGGAAATCAGACCATCTAGTTAGGAGAAACTGAAGCAGTATTTGAGTTTCTGCTAAATTCCAAATTCTAAAGTAATCTATAAAACTAAAATCAGTATGAGCTCAAACTGTGGGAGCTTGCCACTGTGATTTAGAAGCAATCTTAGAAGTCAGTTACTGCTTGGCTATTGGGAAGGAAAAAAAATTAAAAGTCCAGTGTTGCATCACTGAAACATCTTAGCATACTGTTACACAGAAGTATGTGTCCTCAAAGGGACACGATAACTTGCATATATTGTATTAGAAACTCTATACATTCTTAATGTATAGTCTGAATTAGTTTATATTTATTTTGCACTTAGGTGCCAGGCACCATATTGAACGTTTTATGTGAGTCAGGAACTATTTCTAATCTTTTATACAGATGAGAAAAATTTTGAGAGACTTATCAATCTAAGCAATGTCAGAACCTGTAAAGTGGAGCTTGTACCAAGAGCAGGGCTGGGACACTGGATACTCATGGGGTGGTCCAGGAACCCTCTTTGCCTTCCCCCAGTGCCAATCCTGTCAGGTGATGTTGATCGCTTATTTGTGCTATTTTACTTTCTGGCTGGATCTCAAGCAGTTCAAGTATTAGCACCTTGCTACTTAGTAGGGTCTAAGAGTTGAAATTCACTCATAATGCATTTGTTTCAATTCTAAGTTTATGTGGGACTTTTTCAAAGTCTTTCCAGATGCCATGAATTTAGGTTAGGCATCTCGTGTTTTTCCATTGCATTTCATTCTTGCCTTATTACAGAGGCCATAATTTATAGGTTAAAAGCCAAGTCAGACCTTTTGAATTGAGGTAATACTTAAAGGCAGAACTGTGCTGTGCTTTTAGTTGCTTGGTCACATCCTACTCTTTGTGACCCCACCGACTGCATCCCACCAGGCTCCTCTGTCTACGGGGATTCTTCAGGCAAGAAGGCTGGAGTGGGTTGCCATGCTCTCCTCCTCCAGATCTTCCCAACCCAGGGGTTGAACCCAGGTCTCCCGCATTGCAGGCGGATTCTTTACCGACTGAGCCACCAGGGAAGCCCCAAAGGCAGTTATTTTGAGTATATTTTCCTTATCTGTGAAAAACCTTGTCATGGGTAGGGTCTCGTGTGTTGGCTCCCGGCAGAGTTCTGCTTTAAACTAAGTAGAAATTATTTGGCCATTTCTATTCCCATGTTTTCCAACTTTTCAGTGGTGCACATCTACAATGAATGTGGTTCCTAAAGTTCCTTTCAGTATCCCCTTCATAGAAAAAGGAATGGTCACGAGCGCCTCTTCTCAAAGTTCACCACTAAAAAGGAATTAACACAGGCTATCTTGAGAAGTCCAAAAATCCTGGAAAAGAATTTTCTGACTGGCCTCTCTTAAAAGTCAGATGTTCATTTCAAAGTGTGAGTGAGGTGTCTTTTTTGGGATAATCAGCTGTGGCCAGGGGAGGAAGGCCTGTAAAAATATGGCAGCTTCCATTCAAACCACCGAACTGAGAAAAAGGAAGTATCTCCTTGAAAAGAAAATACTTTATCTACACTACAACAGGGAAGTGCTGTAATGACACTCTTCAAATAAAATCTTTTTTCCTAAGAGGACAAGAGATGAATTTTATCCCCACAAACACATTTTTCATTATATAACCCAATCTCATGACATTCCAAGTGAAATCTTAACAAAGCCTCAGTTAAACGATACACCTTAGTGTCTATGACATGCCCACCACTATACCAAATGTGAGTGAATTTTTCCCAAATGTTAAACCACCGAAATAAACCACCACCTGAGGTTTCATCAATTTTTGATGACAGGTTAGCTGTTGACATGCCTGAAAGAACATTTAAGAAGGAAAATGGAGCCTGAGACTCAAGGTCATAACAAAGTCACATAAATGGTACAATTCTTTTACTGGGCTCAAACAAACATGGGCAACTCTTTTTACTTTCTAAGATTTTGTTTGTTTCTATAGTAAATAAAACGTATTTCTAAAGTTTTACGTGTTTGATTAACTGGAGAAATACTTCAGTCAGTTTGGAAAGACAACCTTTAAAAAAAAAAAGAAGTCAATTTCCTTTAGGATGAAACTAATAGAACTGTATTCCTAATCCACTTTATTTTTAAGCTATCAAATGTTCTCCTTCAAGCTGCTTTTTCTGTGTCTATTTATAGAGCCTCTTGGAAATGAATTAAAAGTCTTTGATTTCTTCATTCTGTTGAGAAACTCTTGAGAATGCTGAGAAATCTCCAGATAACCAGCATGTTTTCTCCTAGGAACAAACTTCAGAGCCTCTTCCCAGCTACCAGTATTTTTCAGACATAACAAAATACGTATCATTTGATCTAAAGTGAGATTTTTGGTACCAGTGTCCCACTGCAGGTATTTATCTAATGGAAGGCATTCTGTTGCCAGCTTCAGCCGTTTTGCTTTGGCTAGGGATGTGCCTGGCTGCATATTCTTATCAACAAATGACCCCACTATATAAATTTTGTCATGTTTGAAAGTAGTCATAACATTGGGAGAATCTGCAGTTAAATATATAATACTATCTTTTGGAAACAAATCTACATGAGACTTTTCTGTTGCTGTTAAAAGCAATTTGTTCCATTTTTCTCCATAACGTTTAACTAACTCTTTATAGTAGGCACCGTCTGTTTTAAGATTGCAGAAGTAAATATGGAAAGGATCAATATTTCTTCTGTTACATCCTTCACTTTCTAAAAGTTGGGAAACAGCATTCTGCAATTCTTGTGGTTTCATATAGTCATCATAAGCCATGTCAAAAACCAAAGGCTGTCCAAACTGCATGGCCTGGGCCCCTTTCCAGCCCATTGCAGTGTCCACATTCCTATCCCAAAGTCGTAGAAATAGAAAGTTTTGCTGTTTATCTTCCTTAATGGTTTCTGGTAGCTGCTCTTTTTTAACTTCTTGTTTTTCGGCTTTTTTCATTTCCTTTTTTATTTGTCTGGCTTTTTTCATTTTTTCCTTAATATATAAGTATTTTAAATATTTTCTTTTTGATGACTTAGAAACACATTCCATAAGCGTTTTGAGCTCTTCTTCACTGAAGTGTTCCGGTACTTCTTTGCCAAGCAACCTCCACATCTCAACTAACTCCCTGGTGGCAGCTAGAGGATCTTCATCCTCGCTACTTGAGACTGTTGAAACATCCTCTTCTTGCACACTAGATTTCATTGTAATTTTCCACCTATCCAACTCCAGCTCTTCAGGAGGTGGTGTACTCTCCTTATTAGGATAGGATGCAGCTGGTATTTTGGAAGACATGTATCTCTGCAGAACTGTTGAATATAAAACCCTTCTCTTCCTATGAAGGGTAAATGGCACTAAAACTCTGGCAAAAGGTCTTAAGAAGGTGATACTGACACTCATTTTGAGGAGAACAGGTATGTAAGGAAAGCCCTATAAAAAAATAAAAAAGTAATGAAAAGTTAAAGATTGTATAAATTTGAGATATAAAAATACAATTGATTTCTGAAACACAAAGTGGAATCTTAGTCCAACTTATTTGTTGCACCATTAATTTTTCTGGATTCCTGTGGCCTACAGCCTGTGATAATTCATTAGGCAAAAAGTGGAGAAAACTCTTTTAGGTTCTTATTTGACATATGAATTTCACTCTTGTTTTAGGCAAAAGGATACCTTGAAGATCCTACTTAGATTTTATCTGAGGACCCAGAAGATCAATGTTACTGAATAACAAAATTATGTACTATATGGCTGAGATAGCACTATATTCTTCTCCATTTTCTACTAAGCCTACATACAGACCCAAACAAAAGATCCTCAATAAGCAATACGTAAAGACGAAGGGCAGAAACATTACAGAAAATGGCAGCTAGTAAAAAGCATTTAGCAGCCACTGTGCCAATGCCCTCATGTGTTTTCAAAAGAGATTAAAAAAATTTTTTTTTTTTAATTTTATTTATTTGGCTGTACCAGGTCTTAGTTGCAGCATGAGGGATCTGGTTCCCTGATCAAGTATCAAACCTGGGACCCCTGTGTTGGGAGCGCCAAGTCTTAGCCATTGGAGTACCAAGAAGTCCCTAGAGAGATCGTCTGATTTAAAAACAAAATAAAATCTCCCTTCTCCAATATAGACTTTACTCTGCAGCAAATAATGTTATTGCCAAACAAACTATCCAGAATTAGGGCAACTATATATATATAAGCTCTACAACTTTATCCTATGGGTCTGGAAGTTCACAAAACAATGAAGATGCTTAAAGATGTGAAACTAATGTTTGACTTGAAGCAAAAAAAAAAAAAAAAAAGGAATTCAATTTTTCACAAAATGCAACTAAAATACTTTAAAAATTCCTTCTTCCCTTGGCTTCATTTACTGACACTGCATATTCCTAGGTCTCTGACCTGTGCACTGTTCAGCTCGATCCCCCACCCCCACCCCCAAACACACACAAAGTGGATATACTTCTGAGTTCTGTCCTTAGTCCTTTTTTCAAACTAAATATTTTCTCTATGAACTCTGATCTACCTCCTTGACTTCGATCACCATGTATGAGATGACACTTCAAATGCAACAAACTGAAATCTGTCTCCCTTTCCTTCCCAATCTGCTTTTCCTTCTGTTGTTTCAGGGAGGGACAATAATATCCGCCCATTTGCTGATGCCAGAAACTTGGAGTCATTTCATTACTGTCCCCTCTGACACCTTCCATTCCTAATTTGAATTATAATCATTTACTTTCTAAATACTTCCTGAATCCATTCACTTCTCTTCAACTTCCTTTTCTTAATTGTATCTCCTAGCTTCTAGATTTGCTCTCCCTCATCTCTAAAGAATTTAGAGCTAGTGCAGATCTGATTAATACACTCATCCTCCTCAATGTGTATTTTTAAATTCACTGTTGCCAGGTCAAACTCTAAACTTAATATATGTGGCATATAATGGTTTTTTTTGTTTGTTTTTCACAAAATCACCTTTTGCTTATCTCTTCAGCTACATCTCTAGCTATTTGTCACCTCAAACTTCAGATCAACTATTCCTCCTAATGACTTCCCTCTTAGTTCAGCTGGTAAAGAATCTCTGCAGTTCTGAAGGAGTTCACCTGCAATGCAGGAGACCTGGGTTCCATTCCTGGGTTGGGAAGATACCGTAGAGAAGGAAATGGCAACCCACTTCAATATTTCTAGCCTGGGAAATCCCATGGAGAGGAACCTTGCGGGTTACAGTCCATGGGGTCTCAAGAGTCAGGCACGATTTAGGGACTAAACCACCACCAAGGTAAACCATCAGGACAAGGGCTGTGTTTATATTTTAACACTGAACCCAATGCTTCGCAGTATATAACACATTTATCATTCAAATATCTTTCGATTAAATACTCCAAGTCAATGCTTCTCTTATTTAAAACACGTTCAGATAGCTTTTAAAGAAGAAAACATTTTACTTTAGATTTCTCGAAATATTTAAGCGAGAGTTCTCTGCCTCAATATGAGAGGTATGTATTTCAGAAAAAGTCTTGAGTTTTGTCTTTGTAACTGATAACTATTTTTAGGCTATCATAGAAATACCCGCCTCCCCCCAATTTAAACGGTAAACAAGAATATCCTTTTAGGAAACACCCGTTCGTTTCATGTATTGTACTTTGTTGATGTTGTTTAGTTGCTACCTCGTGTCTGATTCATTTAGACCCCATGGACTGTAGTCCACCAGATTCCTCTGTCCATGGGATCTCCCAGCCAAGAACAGTGGAGTGGGTTGACATGGGTTGACACTTGTCAACCCATGGATCGAACGGGGTCTCCGGCATTGCCAAGCAGATTCTCAGCTGCGCAGCTAATAGGGAAGCCTTCCAGGTATCGCTCTACTTACAGTTTACAAATCACTGGGCTTCCTTTTATCTGTGGGCCTTCCTTGCGCACAGGCTCTAGTACCTGAGGCCTCCCGCTTCCTCCCACCTCACCACACACACGGGGAGACAAGAAAGCCGCCCATACCAGCAATGCGGAGACAATGACTCCCGCGGGTGCAAACCGCAAGGAAGCCCAGAGCACGCAAGATTCTACCGTGAACTTCTGCCAAAGAAGGCGCGCCGTACGTGACTCACAGCTTGCCTATCACTCCACACGCTTTCCGTCGTGGACCAAACACCCGCAGCCGGAAATCCTGCCCTTTCCTCCAGGCGCTGGCATATGACGTCACACCATTAGGTGCGCGTCTTCCGGCCTGGAAAGTAGCTCTGTCGTGCAACTCAGGCTGAAAAACACCCACTGACCTTAGCAGTACAAAGACGATTGGAACCACATTGTGAGATTTGGGGGCTGAAGCCAGGTGAGAGTGGGTAACGGATGAATGGAATATGAGGAAATGAAGTCAAGTTCAAACATTTTTATGAAAGTTGGCAGAGGCAGTATTCGGTGAACTCAGCATCCGGTGTGGTGTCCAGGAAGTTTCCCTTATTTTTACTGTTATTGGGAGAGATTTGACCAACTGATCGGATTGTTAACATGGGAATAAGGAAAGAAAGGATTCAGAGGACAGTTGGAGGGGATCGCTCTTGTATAGGAGGAGGAAGTACCACTTCCTTTGTAACAAGAAGGGAGGAAACTTAGGTAGGGATGGAAGGCAGTTTGTAGATATGGCAGTTGTAATTTGAGAGTTCCCATTTCTTTTTTTTTTTTTTAATTTATTTTTGACTGGAAGATAGTTTCTTCACAGTGTTGTGTCTGTTTCTGTCATACAGCAATGTGAATCATCCATAAGTATACACAGATCACCTCCGTCTTGGACCTCCTTCCCCTCGCCCCACCCCACCCTTTAGGTCACCACAGAACCCTGGGTTGAGCTTCTTGTGTTATACACCAGCTTCCCACTAGCTGTCTGTTTTACATAAGATCGCCTCCCTCTTGGACCTCCCTCCCCCTGGCCCCACGCCACTCCTCTAGATCGTCACAGATCCCTGGGTTGAGCTCGCTGTGTTATACACCTGCTTCCCACTGGCTGTGTGTTTTACATATGGTAGTATATATCTCTTAATGCCACGCTTTCAATTTGTCCCACCCTCGACTTCACTCACTGTGTCTCTAAGTCCATTCTCTACATCTTCCTCTCTATTCTCGCTGAGTGTTAGTCGCTTCAGTCACGCCCGACTCTTTGCGACCCCATGGACTGTAGTCCGCCAAGCTCTTCTGTCCATGGAATTCTCCAGGCAAGAATACTGGAGTGGGTTGCCATATCCTTCTCCAGGGGATCTTCCCAACCCAGGGATGGAACCTGGGTTTCGTGCATTGCGGGCAGATGCTTTACTGTGAGCCATCAGGGAAGTAAGATTCTCGCTAAGAGTTCCCGTTTCTGAAGGAGGTAGTCTGCTGAGAATCTGTGGAGAGTGAAGAAAGGGAGAAGGTTTGATACTGTCATGAATAATTAATGTGACATACTAAGAGTGGTGGAGAAATTTTTCACATATTTCGGTATAGAGACGTTCTTCTGACTTATCTATGGTTCTAGCTGAACTTTGTGTGAACTAAAACAGCCTGACTTATGACCTGTCGAATGCTTATACAGCACATCTGCTTTAACTATTAAGGTAAAGAATGCCCTCGGTCAAGATAAAGATAAATAGCTCTCTATCTGTGGCATCGTTTAATAGTTTCTTGATGATGATGTTTCTTTCCCACACACCAGGGTCCTGCTATCTCACTGAATTCATACTAATCTGTCTCTTTTGAAACATTGAATGATTGCACCCCTCTCATGTTTGATGTGTGTTCTTTGTATTAGTAATAAGGCTTAAAACTGTGTTGAAAACCATGCTTCATTGGAACAGATCCTTTGAGCCACTAAGAAGCTGCCTCCTAGGCTATATTCCCCATTTTGGCTCAAGTAAAACTCTTTTCTATTCCTTAGAATAGTTTTAGTATTGATTATTTGTGTCAGCAATAGAAACAGAAAGTAGAGTGGCATTTACAGGGGCTAAGAGGATGGTGCTAAAAATGAAGTGTTCAGTGGTATAAAGTTTCAGTTTTGTAAGGTGAAAAAGTTCTAGAGATCTGTTGCACAACAACACTACGGAACGTAAAAACTTAATATGGTAAACTTATTTTTTTCCTAAAATCACAATAAAAGTGAAAGTGAAGTTGCTCATTCATGTCCAACTCTTTGCAACCCCATGGACTGTAGCTTACCTGGGTCTCCTGCATCAGCAGGTAGGTGCTTTACCGTCTGAGCCACTAGGGAAGCCCTCACAATAAAAAAAAAAAGAAAAAAGTGAAGTGTCAGCTGACTAGGGAACGACAGTCATGTTGTTGGGCACTATTTATGATTTAATTTGGGTTTCCCTGGTGGCCCAGACAGTCAGGAATCTTCCTACAATGCAGGAGACCTGGGTTTGATCCCTGGGTTGGAAAGA